AAGGCCCAGGGTAATATTTGCTCAAACGGCGGATTAAGGCACTAGCTGGGTCGGGCAAGAATTGTCTGTCCCGTGATCAGGACATGGAACAGGACACAGGCATGAGGCAGAAAGGGGCAGGGATGGCAAATGCAATGACAAAGGCAACACTTGTCCCTCGGACCTCCCGGGAACATCCCAGCTGTGTGAAGCAGCCACCCAGGGCTGCCTCCCCTCCCGTGGCGCAGCAGCCTCGCTGCGGGGCTCAGTCCACGGCAGCAGCAGTTCCTCAGCCTGTGAGCGCAAGTGCTGGGCAAGGAACAAACCTTGCTTGACACGTCTTAGGCAAGCTTGGAAAGCTAGAAATCTGAAAGTACGCAGGAGACAGATCCAAAAACACTGGCTGGGGGTGTAAGGGAGGGAGGTGAACAGTGAAGGACCGGAGTAGGAGGTGCTGAGACTGTGTGGTCTCACACCGTGGGTAGAGGAGAAGGTGCGGGCTTGAGACAAATTGCACCGGAGCAGATGCACTCAAGCACCACGTCACTGCGTTGCATGTTCACAGCTCTGGTAGCACCTGGCTCTGCCCCCAGCGACGGCTCTGGTGTGACTGTGGCCCCGGGGCCCCGCTCCGGGAAGCCAGCAGGAGCCCTGACCCTCCCGGACCCCCTCTTGCACCTGGCCAGTGCTTTGCAGGGTGCTCTCCCTCCCTCCAAATTATCGGCCATGAATTGCTTTTGGAGGCACCTGGTGCTTTGATGCTGCCCCCAGATCTACATAAACACGCAGATACCGATGCAAAGCTGTGGCAGGCACGGACAAAATACTTAACACTTACAGCCCTTGTTACCCTCGGGTTCAGGGGTGGGAGGGAACAGCATTTAAAAGCATCACTTGTGGCACACACTCCAAAAAAAGCCAGGCAGCCCAGCCACATTTGTACTGACATAAAAACCCGACACCGTGGGGCTCCCATTCACGTCTGGGCTGCAAAAAGAAAGAGCAACGAGGTTGAAATCAGCTTGTTTCTCCCCAGAGTTGCCTGGCGTGCAGCAGGGACAGCTCTGCTGCCCGGGTCAGCCGGGGTCACCGGCACCGTGTCCCCCAAGGAGCGTCCCCACGGAGCCTGGCGAAGGGAGCGGGTGCCGGATCTCCAGGGCACTTTGCAAACACAGCCCTTGGCCCTGGGGAGGCTGCCGGGAGCGCGGGCACACACCTCTCCCACTTCCCATATTTTAAAGGTAGGTGAAGTGGGTGTTGGAGTTGTGGAGGAGTACTTCAGGAGAATTCGGAGGGGTTAAACCCCATCCTGTTTATACAGGCCCTTTTCCAGCAGAACCTACTAGCCAAGGGTGCTATCAGTACAACTCCTCCACCCGTAAAGCCACGCTCAAGCAATAATTACGAGTGTTTTGGTTAGGACAGAGCAGGAGAACAAATCTCAGCACCGAGCGCACAGACTTAATTATTGCAAACACCTCACAAGCGCGTCGCAGCTTTTTCACTCTTCCCCAAAGCAGCCGGATTTGGACAAATGAACATCAACGCAGAAAGTCTTAAACCCAAACCTTCTGCTGCCTCCAATGGAAGCTGGTGGCGACCAAAGCAGGAGGGCTCTGAGGATGCGTCGACCAGAACTGCCACAGGCTGATCCAGCAGAGCCCTTTCTACCTGAAAATATTAATCTAGCAGGGCAGGCAAGTCGCTCTCAGCGGCGGGTCACAGCGCATATTCCAGCAGCTCCTCTCTAAAAGCACGTCATAACAAAACCCAGCAACCGGGACAGAGTTGCAAGACTGATAAAGTGACACCTGAGGGCAATAAATCGGAATCTACCCCCATTAAGGTTTCAGAGAAACACTTAAATCTTATCTTAAAGAAATGCAAGTTTATCTGCGGCAATTGCTTTGTCTCTCTTTCTTCTGTTACTCATTATTAAAGACTTGCATATCATAATGTCACAATTGAGCTTAATTAGCAGATATTTAAATGCTATCTACCACGACCAATTTGAACAGACGCTCATTGTCTTTTAGGAAGTCTGAGGTTCAGGCGTGCCCTAATATGCATTCTCCTTCTTTGAGATGCCACCACCAGCACCACCTCCAGTGCACCGCGGCCGTAACACGCGGTGATCAAACCTCACCGAGACTAGAAATGCAGATGCTGGCTTCAGGGGCCATGGTGGAACACTCCCACAGTAAAATTACTTTTGGATGAGAACTCCCCTCTCAAAACCAGGTTTGTTTCTAACTTCCCAGTTAAACCTTCTCATGACTGAAGGTCTTAATCGCTGCCCACACCAAGTAGTAAAAAGGAGAAACTCATGGAAGTTCCAGCACAGATCAAAACCCCGGCAGAAGCCACAGTTCAGCACTTGCACACTGGAAGAGATCGGCTATTTGGGGAAGCGGGAGTTGCAGCGCAGAAGCTGGAGGTTGTTTTGTTTTCCCCTGGCAGGGGAGGAGATGGCAGCTCAGCACTGGGGACCTTCCTGCAGAGCTCAGCTCCGGGCAGCTCCCACTGAACCCATCTCAGCCGCTTCCCCCCGCGGCCCGAGCGAGCCCTGCCCTCCCCAGGAGCAGGAGCCTGAATCCCTGCACCGTGACCTTGCGAAGGAACCACCTGGAAGCCCAGCAGGCAGCGTGTCTGTGGCAGCGGGCTCGGAGCACACTGAAACTCCCTGCAGGGAGCGGGTGTCGCAGGTGGGACAGCTCGAGATGTTTCACCAAGAGGGCTTTGAGGCCCCTCAGCCTTCAGCTGCCAGTGGAAGCCCCAAAGCCCGGGGCTGGTCCCAGGGCTGAACATGGGACCATCCCACTGATTTGTCTGCAGCGGGTTGGTCGTTCCTTGCTGGAACAAATAAAGAGCAGAAGTCGTATTTATTGCATTGATCTCCACAGCAGGAGACTCGAACTGATTTTTATTTCTTCCTTATATTGCGTTTCTGTACTTTTACAGTATTAAAATGATTAACAAAAGCATAAAACTGGAAACAAAACCAATCATTGAGAGTGTCTCCTCCGGCACTCCGAGGCCCGTCATCAGCAGGGGCTGTGCTGGTGTGCTGGCACCCCCACGGAGAGGCTGGGACCAGTCCCTGTCGCAGGACGCACCCTGTTCTCAGGAGGGAAGGATCTGCCTTTCCCAGGAAGCAGGAAGGCACTCAAGGCATGGGCTACTGTTAAGCCTGGCTGGTGGGAATCCTCAAGACAAGGTCCTGGTTCTTCACTGGATAAGCACTCTCAGGGCATGTGCTTTAGATGTCCATGTCAAACTGCTCTTCCTCACCTTTCGAGGGACAAAAGCACAAATGAGTCCCCAAAGTTTCACATGAAATACCAAATATTTTACTGAACAAACCACCATCAGCGGTGCCTCAAGGGTAGTGACAGTTCAGACTTAATAAAACGTCCATTCAGGCATCAAGCCTGATAAGAAAACCATCTCGTAGGAGCAAAATGTAAAAGCTCTGTCCACAGAGGGGATCCAACACCCTGAGTGACAGGAGCAGGCCTAGCAAAGATGCCCTTTAAGTAATTTATTTCTGCCCCTGCACTTCCCTGTAGAAAGGAATGCGAAGAACAACGCTGGTGACGCTCACTGGTACAAACTTCTGTTACCAACGACACAAAAGCACATTTCACAACTCGTTATCCATACAGCTGTTCCCAGGGCTCAGGCCGTCCAGGAGGACGCCAGCGTGAGCGGCGATGATTTATTCCTGCGGACAGGGCTTCTCTGGAGGAGCCAAAACCAAGCTGGCACCCAGCACAGAGCCTGTGTCAGTTTACCAGAAAACCCAGCGAGCCACTAAAGGTCAGAGCAGCGCATAAAAAACCCCACCAAGCAATATTGTCTCTGCAAAAATTCTGCTTAGAGTAAGCAGCCAACTAATGAGCATTCGGATCTTTATTTTTAGAGACAAGACAAATAACCACAGCTGGGAATTTCAGGTTGCTTCAGAAAGTAACCTCACACAAAAAAAACCCAAACAAAAGAGTTCAGGAGCAATGCTTGCTCATGTTGCTATTATAACACTTTTAGTTAAGTGCTCCTGATGTGAAGGGCCCAGTGGCCGTGCTCTCCTGGGGATCACTGCCCCTTGCCAGCTCCAAACTAGAGACAGCAAGAGATACTGGATAATTGATCCCTACGAAGCAGGTATGACAGGCCAGCTACAAAAACTGAGCTCACTCCTACACCAGAAGCCTCAGGGTCAAAAAAAGGCAAGAGGAATTTACAGCTCGGGCTGATATTAAAACCTCCAAGCAAATCCCACCGAGCTGTAATCTGATCTTTTCTAAAAAGGCAAAGCAGCTGCTGAGCGGCCCAGGACATCGAGGTGCAGCCGCAGCTGCCCCTGTTCCCTCACCACAGCACTCTCAACCCAGCAGCAGCTTCCCAAATGCTAAACTGATGCAAACGAAGTGATTAGAACAAGTTACACTTCACTAATTGAAAAAAAAAAAGTCAGGTGGCTGGGGCCCACAGCAGAACCGAACAACCACAAAAACCTAAATACCCGCGTCACTTCAGGCACGCTTGGATTCTGCCAGAAGTTGTCAGAGCACTGACTCCAGCCCACGGGGATCTCCTGGCTCCAGCCCACGCACCCCAGCGAGGGTCTCCACCAGCTCTCGGCACCCACTCACCTGCGCTCGCTTTCTCATCGCAGTTCTGGACATGGTTGTTCTCGATCTTCAACTCCTCCACATTTGGGCTTGTAACGCCTGGAATGTCCGGAAGGTCAGAAGGAGGTGTTTTGGCCACCGGAGAATTGCGGCACTCCATCAAAAACTTACGATCGTAGATGATCCTGGTACCTGGGGCAAGACAAGAACAGTCAGTTTTGAGCATTTTGAGGCACGAGCACAGTCGGGGCATCTTCACCACGGGGTGTGCAAAGCAACAGCAGGAGTCACACTTCAAGCAACAGCTTTTTCTTAACACTTTGCTCATTTTGTGCTACCTGACAAGCAAGCCAGCTACCGCTAACACCACGCTGGCCGAAAAAAAAAGAAGAAATGAAGGCCCCAAGCAGCAGCCAAAGCCACCAGCCTGCTGCAGAGAGAACACAAGGCTCCAAGACCCAGCCTGGCGCTGCACACACAGACCCAGCCCCTTCCACCGAACTCGAGGTCACGACACCCCCCTGAAGGACACAGAGTAAATGGAATTTAACTTCTGCTCATAAACATAACAGGCTTTTTAAGTTGTCAGGGGTGTTCATGCCCGTCTGTTTTCGTGGTTAAGCCAGCTCCAGCGTCACAGTGAGCCTGGGCGGGAGCGGAGCGCAGCTCCGGGCACGGATTTCTAGGAACAGCACAGGACTGCACAGCCCATTCCTTATAAAGGAACTGTGTTGGAAAAAGCTCAAAACACACAGGCAGACAAGGGATCCCTCCAAACAGGCCACAGCCTTAACCCATAAAGTACTGGAGCAGAACTTTTCCTTTCTCCAAGAGGCTTCCCCTCATGTGCTCCCTAAAAAATGGAGGCAAAAAATCTCCTATGAACGTCTGTCCTGGAACACTGAACTCACTTTATTTTGGAGCACAGCTATAAAATAACATAATCAAGTTTCAAGAAGGTTCCGCTAACGAGTTCCCAAAACACCAAAAGCCTTGCAACTACAAGATTTTCAATCCGAGTTGCTTCACTCGACCCCGGGAGTGGTCTAACATCCCCCTAGGAGCTGCGCCCCAGCAGTCACCCCACTGGGAGCTGAGTGCACAAATTCTTGGGAGGTTCACAGAAGCAAGGATGGGGCTTCCTAGAAGGGCAGCTCGTGTACCGAGGATCAGGAGCACAGCAGGGGTGGACGAGAGCCTCCACACCCCGCTCACGTTCCTCTGACAGTCACATGCCCGGAGCTCAGGAAAGCAAACACCCCGCGGGCACCCCGCGAGCTGCCAACGCCCTACGGGCTCCTTCCCTCCTCCCGGGGTAATGGGGTTGGGGTGGATTTAGTCCCCACAGGGACTGCTCTGCTCCCCGAAAGCCCTGGTTACACCACGGCTTCAACACCAGAGCATCGAGATCTCTGGAGGCTCAAAGGCCCCAAGAATTTCACCTCAGCATTGTGCAGAGGAGGAACAGCTCGTGGTTTTGACTGCAGGCAGTGAAGGCAGACCTGAGCGAAGGTGGTAAGAAAAGAGCTGTTCTGCAAGCGCCTGGCGCCAGGAAAAGCGAGAATTCCCCTGCTCTTTCCAAGTCCATGAACTTGGCTGTCAGAGACTCACAGCTCAGCACGCCACGGCTGGGAAGAACCACCTTTTCAACAGCCTCCAGTCACCCAGGGGGGTTCTGGCCCTGGCACCGAGCCCTCTTTCCATCACTCACATCCTCAGCGCTGCCTCTGGCCAAAGGGATTGCTTCAGAGATTACAGTCCTCAATTCTTACCCAAAATTAGTCAGAGGCTTCACACAACAAGCTCCATTTCCTTCTCATTCTTCAGATTCAACCTACTGTTTTGTAGGAAATCTCAAACTTTTCTTTCAGCGGGGCCACATACATTGAACATTTTCACAAAAGGACCTAAAAGGAGCGCTGCTGAAACACAAGATTATTTATGTTTGCAGCAGTCAGGGCTTATTTGCAAAGGCATAACACAAAAAAACCAGGCTCCCGGAGTCCAAGCTGCCTCCCCCAGCACTAATCCGGGGATTCTGGTGTGAAATGTATTGATAACATTTTCACAAGAGCTCCTCCGCACAGGACGAGGGATTCTTCTCCCTAGTGATCACAAAGGCAGGCCAACAACATCCCTGTTCCTCCTCCACACTCAGGCATTCATTAATTCTCCAAACAGAGACGATCACCCTGGAAGGCTCGTTTATGCTGCTCAGCACTTAAACTGCTCATTTCTCTGCTGTTACTCAGAGCACGTGAATCCAGCTGAGAAAGTCATTCTCATTCTCCTGTCTTCCACTGCGTAATTACCCCAAGTGCTATTTAAGTCCTTCAGCTATTTGCTGCTTTCAGAGAGAACATATGGCAAAAACCACACAAGAACTTCAGTTCCCCAACAGAGCTTTTCCACATAAACAAAAAAACCCAAGTTGACTTCCCCCTTCTCCCTGAATTTTAACGCCTGACAACGCTGCGCTGGAAAGAGAGCAGAAGGGCCGAGGGACAAACACAACCCATCCACCTCCTCCCACTTAGTTTGGCTGAACTCCAAGTACAGTTTCATCACTCCTGCTGCTCACATCGATCTTCTGTGCAGCAGCACGGGGGGAAAAAAAAGAAATTCTATAAGGTATGGAAAAAATTATCCTGAGCCACTGATCAGCAGGTTCTTGTCTCAAAAACCAAACTGCTGAGTAAACAGAGACTCGGGCAAGTGACGTGGATCCAAAACGTTTTGGACGGAGGAGCCCTTTGGGCTTTGCCCATCACGTCCCTGCTGTGGCACATGGAGCCAGAAGAGACATATGGCACGGCCGAGGTAAATACCAACTCCCAGGCTGGGTCCTTGCAGCCTCCTCAGCTGCCTCCACTTGGAGCAGAATCAGCTCCCACCACCAGTTCATTCGTCTTATTTGAAAATCAAGCCCCTGGAAGACCCCAGCCCTGGCAGTCACGCGCAGCAACAAGACCGAGGCACAGCACCGCGCCCTCCCGAGTTAGAGCAACCTGGGGCAAGGGAAAAAGAAAAGGCCCCAGGGTTTACTCACTGCCAGAGGAAACAGCAAATATTAGAGATTAGAATTAATAAGTAACCCAGCCTGGAAGATGAGTTTTCTCCCAGCAAGGCTGCCCAGGAGCAGAAGGAGCAGACACACAGGCAGAGGCTGTTCCCCTGCACCAACTCTGGGGCCCTTGTAGCA